TCCCCAGCTTTTCTACGCTAATTGGTGGTCAATTACTGTTCCGTAGTATTTAGCATCTAATGAGAAATCCGAAGCTACCCCATTTAATATTGCTAAAATAATATTTGAGTTCTAATGTTACTTTGTGATCTGGCCTGGGCAAATTTTGACAAAATTACCAGAGCACTATGCATGATATCGGAAATAGTTTGTAGAAATTTACCCTTTATCATCTTGACCATTATTACTTTCTCATGAGGATGATGTTTTATCATTTAGCTTTTCCCAGTTCTGGTATAAGTAACGCGGGTTTTCAGCGAAACTGTTGGAATCACATCTCAATACACCCACCTCCTACAGAAGATTACCAACCTCTACCCCGTTGTATATGATGCGAGGTATCAGTTATCCTCTGTCTGTCACTATGGCTGACTATCTTATTTATATACCATTCACCATAAGTTGGAGTGTATATTCCGTCATTCCATTTGGAACGCATTGATATATTCGTCTGTTCGCACACCTGAATGTCTGAAGAAATCACGTTATATATCGCAAAATTTGAGATAGAGCTTTGCAGTGCTATTATCCCTAGGATGATTGGTATTGCAAATTTCTAATTTTTATACCCTTCACCACACTGTGGTACAGGGTATTATGTCTTTGTGCATATGTTTGTAGCAGGCAAAAGGAAACGAGATAGACACATGGTTCCTTTTGAGAATATGCATAGAATCACTTTCTGAGTCGATTTACACATGTCCGTCCGTAAATCGTCCATGTATTTTTGTGAACAAAGTACAGGTCGCATTTATGATCCGATTTGGATGAAATTTGGCATACGTCACTTATTTGGCCCAAGGACGAACCCTATCGAAATTTGGCAAAATCGGTTCAGATTTAGATATAGATCCCATTTCGTCCGATTAAATATTTTCGTCCGATTTAATGTAAATGGACCACCAAAGTCCCTATTTATCTTTCGATTTGCACGAAATTTAGCATATCGTATTAAATTAAGTCTAGAATGATGTGTGCTGAGTTTCATGAACATCGGTTCAGATTTAGATATAGCTCCCATATATATTTTCGTCCAATTTAAGGTAAATGGTGTACCAAAGTCCCTTAATATCTTTCGGTTTGCACGAATGAATTAAATCTAGAATGATGTGTGTTAAATTTCCTGAAATCGTTGAAATCGGTTCAGATTTAGATATATATTAGATATAAATTAGTATAGGTTGCAGAATGACATGTTTATGGATCCAATTTCATTTTGCCGGTCCTTTAAAAATGCGACGTCTGTTAGGATTTATCTGTTGAATATACCCAAAGTGGTGAAGGGGATCATATCGTCGGCCCCGTCCGACTTTACTACTTTCCTTACTGGTTGTCATTGTAAGCAATTGCGGATGCGTCTTTTTGAACACCTGTTTCTATATGAAGGAGTTGCCAGATCGAAACAAAATTTAACATGTGTTCATAACAGAAATTGAAGTTTCCAAAACACTTAATTTTTTTCTTTGTGTACCGCGCTTTTTGTGCTAGGCTAAGAACTTTCCGAATTTCCCTCTAAATCTACTAATCCGCAGTTTTAAATCCGGCTGTTATATTTTGTTGTAATTTTTTGAGTTCTATTATAACTACAGACAATACACGTTGGAAGGGAACTTCATTACCTAACGATGAATTTGAAGGTACTAAATTGAGCCTTTAGATCTCTCAGGCAGATGAAATTTAATGCTGTATTCAGGGATCAATATAACTGCAGAATAACAAACAATAGTAATTTTATTGGTTTACTCCATCTAAGTTCAGAATGGTGAAACCGCCTCAAATACTACTGAGCAGTTGGTTGCGGAGGTACGGTATTAGCCACGGACGACGCCTACAGTTTATTGGGAGGATCCGACAATGTTTAGAGGACCTAATGGATCCCTTTCTCTAATATCTCAAGTACTCTGTAGATCACAACAATTATAAATAATATAGATATATGTATCGGATAGGGGGAATACTAAGTCTTTATTATACCCGTCACCACACTGTGGTACAGGGTATTATGTCTTTGTGCATATATTTGTAACAGGCAAAAGGTTACTTCTGAGAATATGCATGGAATATTCTACATGGTCTGTGCATGTATTTTTTAAACAAAGTACAGGTCGCATTTATGATCCGATTTGGATGAAATTTGGCATAGCTCACTTATTTGACCTCAGGATGAACCCTATTGAAATTGGAATTGAAAAATCAGTTCAGATTTCGATATAGCTCCCATTTATATTTTCGTGCTGAATTATGTCTAGAAGGATATGTGTTAATTTTCGTGAAAATCAGTTCAGATTTAGATATAACTCCCATATATATTTTCGTCCGATTTTATATTAATGGTGCATCAAACCCCCCATATTTCTTTCGATCTGCACGAAATTGGGTATAGCGTACTGAATTGAGTCTAGAATGATGGGTGTTAAGCTTCGCGAAAATCGGTTTAGATTTAGATGTATCTCCCATACATATTTTCGTCTGACTGTGAATGGTTCACAGAGGAGCTTACGTCTGTCCCATATACACAAGATAAAATTGTGGATAGCGCTTTGTGTTGTAGCATACATACATAATTTTGCTCAGTTTCATACATATGGTACATCAAAAAATCCAAGTCTGCCCGATTGACATGGAATTTTTCATGGATTTCAGAATGATATGTCTATGGGGTTTTGTAATAGGTTCAAGTACCTATGTAGATCACACGTTTAGTTTCGCATGATTCTATTTCAAAGATCCACTAAAGATGTTAAGTCTGTTCTATGTACAGGATATTGTATATATTAGTGCCTCTTGTATGTACCCATAGTGGTGAAGAGTATCATATAGTCGGTCCCGTCCGACTTTTGAATTTTCCTTACAGGTTTTTACATTAATGTACTTTTGTTTCAAACAAACCAAAAAATCTGAATATTTTTATTAAGAATTATTTTTTAAATTCATCTCTTTACAGAAATTGGAATTCCACACCCATACTGGCACCGCACTATTTCCAGCACAATTCTCCCTCAACTATGAATTTGTCGATACCGAGCAGGGCGGTGAACCATGGCCGGGACGACGTGGAGAAGAGCCAGTACCACCATTGTGTTCAAGAGTATTTCGCAAACGTAAGGGTAACATTCAAGTACCGCGCAATGTGTTCCTTTACGGACGGGGAGGTGCGAAAAATCTTACATGTTTATATCGTTTCGAAGCTGGCCCATCGGAAAGAGTACGTCTCGTTTTACACAATGTATCCTTTGGTGAGGGTACAACATGTACCACCGACAACGATTTACATACCGGACGACCAAAATGTAATCAATTGGATCCGGATGGACGTATTACCGAACTGAAGCTATACGATGTACCCTTTCGGGATGTTAAAATACAAATGGGTTGTTTTTGTGATAATTCATCAGCATTATACAATAATGCTCCGTTGACATTCATTTCGAATTCAAGAATAATGGAGCTGACATTTACCGTTACAAGATTAAATATTTCCGAAGATTTTGCCGATGTCAATTTCTTTGCTTCGTATGAATTTAAACGTGTCAGTGATTGTCGTAAACGTCTGAAATTGAAGGGTGCCGGTGGTGAAGATGAAATTAAGTATCCCATGAAGTCACAAGATTCTAGCTGTGAAGGTCTATCGTGGTATATTGAGGCACAATCGTTAGATAAATCGTTGTTTGTACAAACATGGGGCTCTTATCTGCCTGTTGATCCCACCTCAGAAGATGCTATGCGCTGCCATACGAAAAATCGTCTTATGATTTATTCGGGACGTCCGTTGAAACCGATGCGGGTGGTGTGTCCGGCACAAAGTGGACCACGACCGACATCGCTGCACATATTCTCAGAGGATTGGATGAATGGCCAGCCGTTGTTCAGTAACAAGTAAGTATGGATAAAATAAAATTAAGGAAATTTAATTACAAATTGATGTCTCAAATTTGCAATCAAAACTATTCTTAAATGAAATACCATGCGTCCATTACATGAGATAGTATATTTAGAATTTTGACTATCCGATTTTATAGCCTTCCCTATATTGTGGGTCATTCTTTTATAAAATTTTCCAAAGTACCATTCACAATTTTAAATCCAGCAACCTAAAATGTAAACGATTCATTTGAAACGTTAAATTTTTATCATTTCTATTCCATTTCGCAATTTTCAATTTTTTCTGTCTGGAAAATTATTTTTGAATGTCGTTACCTCAGGTTGTCCATGTTGACCACATAATACGTTTTTGCAAGCGTAAATGATAAACAGAACCTTTGAAAAATGGAGGGAACCTAAATCAAGTTTTGCGGCTGTTGGTGTTGGTGTGATTTTTAACGCAACCAAATGCCAATGGCTAGTTGGCTAAATAGCTAGCCAAGCAGAAGGTTATGTATGGCATTTCAACTTTGGCGGTAAGCTTAGAGGCAAAAAGCACAGTGGTGAATTTGGGATTAAATATGACATTCAAAATAAAAATAGATTCTTTTGTAATATATTTTCAAAGTTGGAGTTATACTATTTTTTCCCACAAAGATATATGGACAAAAACTGGATGCCAAATGACACGAAATTTTGCATATACATTTGAATCAACTCAAGATTTGGGCAACAAAAGAGTCCAAATTTGTATCCTTAATGGGACCCAAAGAAACGCAATATAAATTGTACTGGTTTTACAAATTCCTATATATAAAGTAGTATGCATAACATTAAATTTATTAATTTTTTTCACAAAAAGTTACTCAGTACGCTTTTAAGTACGATCATGTGTTGTGTTGTTTACAGTGAATTGAAAAATCAGTTTGCCAATAATCAGAATAAACTTGTAACATTTTTTGATGTGAACTTCTTTCACATCGTTCCATATGGGTTATCACGACAACTGTGCATCAATGAACCTTACCCTTTGTTTGGCGATGAAGCACCATCGCACATAGCTCTGAAAATTTCTATTAATAAATTCAATCGTGGCCGAACATCGCTTTTGTACAACGATCGTGACGAACTGATAATATGGTATACCGTGAAATAGAAGCATTTCTTCCAGCAAAATACATTCAAGATTGCATGAAAACCTGACCGCAAAAAGGTTTGTTATCTTTGGATCAGGCACGATTTGACAATCGCTCAAAAATCGTAGCACTTCAATAGACGTTTATGGGATCGACATAGGTGATGAAACATTGATCTGTGCGTATAAGCCCAAACCAAAGCAGCAACCGACAGTGTGGATCTTGGAAGATAGAGAGAAATTGAAACAAAGAAATTCAAGAGAAGACGAATAATTGGGCACTATGTGAGCTCTACACCTCGGCCCAAAACAAGTGCCCTTTTGATCCAACGATTTTCGTCGCCAGAAGATGATGTTGAGGTGTTCATGTGTTGGTGCTCTAGCGCATAAACAATCAAGCATTAGAGTACTTAGGAAGAATTAAGGTTTCTCAAGTTAAGTAAGTTGTGTCCTTGCTAATTGAGCCCTTAATATAAAAATTGATGCAGAATTCTATCAAAAATCAGATTGGTTTATGATACCCGTGTCAATCAAGGTGGTTATGTTAACAAGCTAAATTATATCAATTGTTGCTCGGAATCCCCTCCTCATTCTATATATGTGCCTGAATCTAACATATTTTATAGTCCGACATTATTTTTTTCAAAACGATGTTGAATCGAATTTTGGATTAATGAATTACCCTTTGGAAAGATGATTTACGATATTGTATTGTCTGTATGGCATTGATCTAATAAACGTGCCACCAAAATAACAAAACTATTGCTCTTTTACGTGTTCTACTTCGAAGAGTTGATCACAACTGGCCACCGAGATCATGTAATTTAACACTGTTCAGCTTTTTACTTCTGGGGTCTCGTGAAAAATAAGGTCTATGGGTTTACATGATGTTATACCAAAATGCCTATTGGTCCTTTGGATATTGGCCAGAACGTTAAAGAACTAGAAATGTTTCGCCTAAACATGGGCTATATCAGTCTGCTCTTTTGAATGTTTTGGGCGCATTTTCCAACCGAAAGGTATCTATTTTGCCATACCAGCTTTTTGGAGACGAACAAACAACTATGCAAAAATTTTCAATATATGGTCATGTTTCGACATATCCACCACATATTTTGAGGTTTTTTGGCCATTTTGCAGCCAAAAAGGCTCTAAATTGGCATATCGAGACTTTAAATGTTGGCTCACATCCGTGCAGAAAATACAACTATGCAAGAATTACCAATATATGACGACGTTTCGACATAGGCTCACATAGGGTTCTCGTCCAACTTTGTAAACTTTGATTAGTTTGTAGCTGCATCTTCTAACCGAAAAGTCTCTAATTTGACATTTCGGTGTTTAGGAGGCTAACATACACATACTAACTATAACTTTCAACATAAGAAGATCCCGGCCAAATTTCGGTTGTATTTTTCATTCGAAAGAACTCTAATTTATCATTTTGGAGCTTTAGAGGCTGGCATACGTCTAATTAGAAAATAATGATTATATGGTAATGTTTTCCATAAAACACATTTGTCAACCTAAAAGGTTGTAATTTAGTATTCCAGATACTTGGCAAAGAATCTTCTCCCCAGAAAATCTTCAATATAGGTCAAAATTTTTATATATATACAGAGGTCATCCCGTTTCCAACACCTCGAAATATTCACCGGAGACCCCACAAAGAATATATATTCTTGATCTGAATAAAATTCTATGTCGATTTGTTGTCCGTCTGTTGAAATCGCGATAAAGATCGCAATATTTAAGATAGAAATTTTGCGCAGACATTGCTAGTACTCCTTGGATGTTTGGTATTGAAAATGTAATATATCGGGCCACGTTTTGGTGTACTGTAAATTGGTGTTTTGTATTATGATTGGGTGTCAAAGTTCACTACCAAAAATTATAAATGTTGACCCACGTTTCAGGGTAGCCCCAAAATATGGTACCCCACAATATTCGGTATTTTTGTGGGTTTGGGCTCGTTTCTCAACCGAATTGACTGTAATTTGGTATTTTGGCTTCTCATTGTATAATACAACCCCGTTCCACAAATTATAAATATTGACCCAAGTTTCAGCGTGGCCCCCATAATTCACTATAATTTAGTATTTTGGATTCTTATTAATAGCACATCCTTGTACTAAAAAATTTTAATATTGACCCAAGTTTGACGGTTGTAAAAATAATTAACATAGTAAACCAAGTCGGCATTTTGGACACGTTTTCAACCGAATTGGCTGTAACTTTGTATTTTGTAGCCTCATTGGCTGTCAAAAAATATCAATATCGATCCCACTATTAGGTATTTTGAGAATTTAAATCATCTTTTTCTCACTTTCTTTTTTGTTATGTAAATTTTGGATATTTTGAATGTCCTCCTCATGGCGTAGGGTATAAAAAGTTCGGTCCGGGCGTTTTTACTTGTTTTCTATGCTGAAGTTCCTAGCGTCTGCAATTTTCTATTTAATTTTCAAAGAGTATTAAAAACCTACTAGCAGACAATTTATATTGGTTTTGTCTCCACATAAAGGTCCCATCTATTTAAATAAAATTTAAATGTATACCAGGAACATTAATCCTTTCCTTCTGACATCTCCTCAAAAAATAGTCAACAATTTCTTAAAAACTAATTGTGTAATATAACGCAAAGAGTATATCCGATTTGAGTCGAATACAATTAAATCTCATATAAAGTGAACGCAATATCCAATATCATCTAAACTTTACACATCGTACTATTTTCATCAAAACCTTGATAAAGTCGATCCACTCCCCCTGGTCTATCTTCACAAATAGTCAATATTTTCAAAATTTTTAAATTTCATAAATAGCGAATGGAATAACCGATTTTATTCAGGGATTGCATATCGTTATGTTTTACAAAACCTACAAAGATTGATATTTCTCCTGGTAATTCCCCCCATCGTAGCGTTTAATATTTATACTAACCGTGGAGTAGTGAAACTATCGGCTATACAGGTCCTTCATCTCTGGTACCTCCCCTACAAAATGTAACAATTTTGGAAACTCACAAATTTAATAAACACTTGTTGCCCCACCTCGACCAATATAGCACATATGTCATAGGGGGGGTATATATCTATGGCAACACCGACTGACAATTTCTTATTTATTTAGAAGAAAATTTCCTGCAATTAGAATGAATGTTGTTAAAATTTCATATGACGATACATCTTGTTCGTCATATGCAATTTTAACAATTTTAATTATTTTATCTCGTAGAATCGATAAATACTTATTTCCACGAAGTCCAAATTCGCATATCAGACTTTTTTCTTATTATACTTTACTGCCTATGTATACACGGTATCTCACAATTACAACTCATACTTTCTTATTCATTCTCTTACACGCTGTTATGAATGAAAATTAATTACCACACTTCCCCCAATAACCAAAGAAATTATAATTACTTCATAATATATTTGGATTTTATTACAATATCATCATGCAAATTATCCTGTTGATTTACTTAAGCAACACTTAGTGTTCAACAGACGAATTTCCCTTCCTCCAACCCCCCAAGAACCCAGAAAAAAAATATTATTTTCGATAAATTCATAGGTGTGCATTGTCCTTAATCTGTCTTAACGAATTATTCAATTGTTTATATTTCCTTCTTCTTTTTTTCTATAGATATGTATGTTGTAATTACACCAGCAAAAAACCCCCTCAACCTTTTTGAATATTAAATAATGTATGGATTATATCTTAACATTTCCTGGGAATTATATTTTTATTATATGTAGAGAACATGTTCGCACAGCAGCACACACACATAGACTTATATGCGCATATAAAACAATATTCCCCTAAAGGATATTCGTTTGCATGGGTCTATTTCGTTTCGTTTTTTAATCAGGGCACG